TTACTAAAGGATAACCACCCAAGGTCTTTCATGAGCACACCGCTCATATGGGTGTTCTACTTCTTGAGGATATCATATTTTAGTGGGAGTTTGTATTCTTATTGCTTTATATATGTTTAGTTCTTTGGACACATTTGTGTATTTGGATATTTTCTGTACAGAAATAAAGTATTCAGTTCATTTCACTCTGTTATTATGTTCAGTATGATCTCACTTAAGAAATAAGGTTGGACCAGTTGGAAATAGACATGTTCGGATCACATAACATGTAATTTCCATGCTACACTCCCATAATTGATCTATGTCATTTGGTTGTATGGATGTACGTGACCATTGATGGATTTAGTCACGCTAAATGTGACAAAAATCTCTTTGATCCTACATCGATGTAACTAATGGACGAGATTGTTTGGAAATACCCTTAATAACGATAGCACAATTTTGAGCTCATAAGTCTGTGCACATTTATAATGTAACATGTTTGGTCCAGTGGGAGATTGTTGGAAAAAATTCCAACTTTGGGGAACACACATGTAAATTTATTAGAATGTGTGGTGCTATTTTAAAATAAATTTAGTCGATAAAGTGATCCATTGGATTTAATTTTGGACTAATGGGTATTAAATTTTATGGGATTAAAGTGTAGAGACCAGAAGATGTTATTTTGAATTGATGAGGGGCCGATTTAAAATAACTTAAAGTTAATAACTGCCAATTGCAGTTATTTTAATAAATGGTTATGGTCCCCAATTTGAACGTGATATTTTTTGGTATCTCTGCATCCCCATCAACAGAGACTTTTCAAAAAAATAAAGGAAGGAAAATCACGTATCAATTGGAAGATCAAAACCCAATTAAAGCAGTCAGATTCATGGATCAAGGTTTTTTTCCGCACTTTTCATTGTCTCTTTGATTTCAACATGGAATTTATGATTTTATGAAAGGATTTTATGAATATGGTTCCTTTCAATTTATGCAACAACACTTTCATACTTTCTGGATTTATTTTTTCAATTTTTGTGTGTCAAATTGGCTAATATGTGAAATCATAACGCCACAAAACATGCATAGCCACTATCTTAATCATAAAATTTAAGATATAAGTTTGAATATTTCGTAAATAATACTGGACATTTCTAGACATAGTTGTATCAGAAACCCTCCCAAAACCCACGTGCCAAAGTTTTAGATAGGCCGGTCTGATCTCTCAAGTTCTGGATTACAATTTGGCTCGAACAGTTGTACTAACACAGATCAATCTAATATAGCAACTTATTTTGATACCACTATTTGAATAGATCGATCGATACAATTTTAACTTATTTTTCTTTAATACTATCCATTATCATAAGGTGAAACATGGTTGGCACTTTACGACTGCACGCGTCATCCATGACCTACCCATCGAAACTCAAAAACCAAGTCTACATCAGTTACCTTCCCATCCATTCTCAGCCAACGACAACCCCACCCACCCCATTATCACACTAGAAACAGAAAGTGCATTTCAATGGGGAAATACAACGAAATATTGTCATTATCCGACATCATGAATTTGTGACCACAAACTCTCTTGAGAACGTGAACGTGAACGTGAATGTGAACGTGAACTTCGACAAGTGGCGTCGTTTGAAAATTAAAACTAGTGATTTCAAGGGAATTCATGAGGACGAACAAACAAAACATAGTACGCACAAAATGATGAAATATTCCATTATAGGCCTGCAAATTGGGTTTGCATTATTGTCACTTCGTTTCCATTCCCTAACATTGTTCGTTCTATCCTTTTCTTCATTTTTATCGTTTTCTTCTTGAATAATGACGGTTGAACAGGGTTAAAATACGGAAAGTATGTTTTTTTTTGTAAAAAAAATTCAAACTGTCCGTTAATATTTTGACACACATCCTCTTCGTTTTTAACCCTATTTCTTTAGCATTTCTGTTTTTCTTTGGCAATCAAGAGACTCACTAAGTCATGTTATGACGCATTTTCAAACACTAAATGATTATTTGAAAGACGAAATCATCGTCAACTAAAGGGAATCTTTTCAAAGACACATTTTATTTACCCTCGAATTATTTTTTGTAAATTTGATATGCATCAACAACTTGACAAAATAAAAGGACTTCTTTATCTTCTTCTCGTCTCGTATCAATTATAGAATGCAGAATCGATTCTGCCAGGATTAGTTCAGATTCTTTTAATAAAAAAACTTATCATGTGGATCATTTGCGAATATATGTTGAAATAAGTTATGATTTCTTTGTTAGTAAACTAATGAATCCGTTCAGAGAGTTTCTCACATATTACTTTTTTGTTTTTTTGTTGATGTTGGCCTTCTCATATTCTTTGTATTTAGAGCCTATTCGGTAGTAATTATGAGCGCTGATGTTTTGACTGTTAAAGAGAAAAGTTGATCCCATCTGTGAGTAAAAGTGTCAAAAATGACGTCTGTAATTGTGAAATAACGATCAAAAAATTGTGAAATAAGTGTCAAAATACTAGTTATTTTCTTTTCTAAATACTCAAGAAATCGAGATGGATATTTTAATTGACCCACAAATATTATTATCTTATTAGTATTTTAATTTGTGTAATAAAAATAAGATTGGTTTTCGTAGTGATAGATATAAGATCTTATAGAGATTTCAGTGCGCAAAAAGTTAGTATCAAAATCAAGTCTCTATCAAAATACTTTTCCTACCACTTCTCTAAATCATTATCTCCTTCGTCATTGAGTTATCTCCTTTTTGGATCACAAAACAGACATGATTTCACAATGATGATATTATTAGCATATTAGGCGGCATGTTTTAAAGTGCTTTTTTTATTTACTTTATTGAAAAGCAGACTCATATTACCTAAACAAGTACTTAAAAACGTGAGTTTAATCATGATCAATTGTGCTCTATATAATAAAACATTTAATAGTTATTTACTCATCCCACAAAAATTAGTTATACTTATCGAGTGTGTTGGAGTAGTAAGATTAAAAGATGGTAGAAACAATCAGATTACATGTTGAGGGAGATTATACAGGAAGCATTACAAGAAGACATGTGACAACCATTCATTGGACCTTGGATCCAAAACAGTTTTGTCCCGACCAATGCAATGTTGTCACTTGTCTCCCTGTAATGCTCCCTGTACAAGGAGAATAATTTTGGTAGAAATGTTAAATTAATTTTGGCACGCTATCACATTACTCTAGATGGCTAGAAGAGCTTGGTGGTGGCAAAAGTTCAAATGGCTCACTGATTTTATGTGCTCGTATTGAAACGAGCCAAAGACCCAATTGAGCTCGATTTTTTCATGAGCTAACTTGTCTTGAGCTCATGAACTAGCTCATTTTAACTTCTTTTTTTTATTAATTTTTTTTAATGAAAAACAAGTCGATTCGTGGGCATTGGCTCGAGTTCGATTTGACCCATTGCCACCCTTACAAGAGCTTGACAAATTTTAAGAATCCAATCTTTTATTTTTTTATCCATACCATACATGAGATTAATTTTGTAATGCATATTTCTTTAAATCACGCAAATTCAAGGTTTTATCAAATTCAAATAAGCTAAACCTATAATAATGGTACATTCTGGTAAAGACGAAAAATAAGTTAAAAATCTCATTATTTATCCTATTCAATTTTGTACCAAATATTTAAGTCATTTTTTTTTTATCAAAACGTTTGGTTCATGTTTATCTGTAATATTTTGCTCATATTTATAAATTGTTCATAAACACTTCAAACTACTTTTTATTAATATATTTCGAGAAATTTCAAATATTATACACTATTCATCACTTATTTTTATTTATTTATAGTTTAAATTGTTTATAAACTCTTTTCGAACATACATCCAATCTGATTATCTACATCTTTCAGAATTATGCTAGACAGACAGGTGCACATCCCCCGGACGGTAGTATTTTGCAAAAAGTGGCTTAACTTTCCCTCTTAACAGCGAAATGGGGACAGATAACCTTAGTGACAGAAATTTACATCTGTCTTGACATGGTTTGTCATATAGAATCCTCACACGATTCTCCTCTCCTATGAACCATACGTTACTAAAGCGTTTCGTACATTTCTGTTTCGTGTGTGCAGATTACACAGAGATACACTACACGCATGCACATACCTTTACTTTATTTATTTATTTATTTATTTATTTGTTTTTTGATATCCAGGTATCCCAACTTATACTAGACTAAATTTTGGACCCCCAAGACCCTTGCCCCTAGAACATTGGAGGGGGTAAATCGCAGGTTATGCCTCAACTGGATCACAGGTTCTCCCATTGTCTGTACACTTTTGTGCACAAAAGACCCTACTCCACAGTGATTGCTCCATACCAAATATTTGACCGCAGGTTCCCACCAGGAATCGAACTCTCCACCTTGCCGCTGGAAGCAAGACAATGTTGATTAATCTACCAGTTGAGCTGTGCCCGGGGGCCACGCATGCACATACTTTGTCCCTTATTTGATGGTCATTGCTTAGAAAAAATGATGTTTTGAAGTTTGAATTGTGATTTTTCAAAGAATAAATGTTAAAAAATAAGATAAGTGTTTTCGAATTTACATGTAAAATATTTTATTGTGTAAATATGTATATGAAAATGAGCATGAAAATTAAAGAATTGGATATATACTTTAAAGAGAGACAAATAGGTGCTATATATTATGAAAATTGCGCACGTATGAAACTTTAAATAAAAAGGAAATTCAGCTTGCACACGAGCATGTTGAAGAAATCGAAACATATAAGCTATTTGTATAATCTTTGTTGACAATTCATGTATTATCAAGATCTGGGCAGTTGATTTGAAAAACAACTTTTAAGATGAATGGTGTAGATTCTTGCCTACTAATGGTTGTCATTGTACATATAGTATGACTGACAAGTAAATTCAATTCATCTCTTAAAATTTTAGATGAGATAATGTCACTGTAAAAAATCATTTCTTGTGGTAATTGACGAAAATCACTATCACTCGCTGCCTATAAATATTTTGGAATATTGAGGGGGATATTACAGCAAAAATTAAGAAAGAAGGAGGACAATAATGGAGGAGAGAAGTCAGCATGCAGAGAGGAAAAAGGGTGGTATCATCACTATGCCATTCATCTTTGGTAAGCTTCATTTTTCAAACATTACATTACTTTAGATTGGAATTTGGAAATCAAAGTCTGTTTTGATTTGTTTATGAATTAGGATGTGATTAGTATTAATGTTGTTTGGATTGCAGCAAATGAAATATGTGAGAAATTGGCTGTGGTTGGTTTTGGTACAAACATGCTCAGCTACTTAACAACTCAACTACACCTGCCACTCACTAAAGCAGCCAATACTATCACCAATTTTGGTGGCACTGCAGCCTTAACGCCGCTAATCGGGGCGTTCGTCGCAGATGCATTCGCCGGAAGATTTTGGACCATAACAGTTGCTTCTATCATATATCAAATAGTTAAGTCTCTTTCTCTTTTTTCTTAATGCGGAGTCGTGTTGAATCATTTTATATAAAAATTTAAGCTACCACGAAGTCTTGACTTGTGCATGATTTTTATATATGTGGTGAGGCTTCCGCTCGTCAGCCATGTTCAACCTTTTCATCTAAAAGTTTAAGCAGTTAAAAACGAATAATACCTTTATTTAAATTATGATTTCAAACTTCAAACCGTAATTAGCTTAACTTTTAGTTAATAAAAGAAACCTTCTTGTGTTTCATGCAAGAAAATAAATAATTCAATGTATAAAACTTACAAGGTTTTGAATTATAAATCTTTAGGACATAAATAATTATTTTTATTTATTTTCATAACTCCCACTTTTTTGGACCATTGTATTTATAATCAGTTATGCTATATGTACAATTAGGTTGACAACCACACATGCAAAAGGGGGCCTACGCTGAATAAAGAAATCGTAGGTCCCCTTTTTTGTGGATATGTTGCCAACCGAGATTGTCAACTAGAATAATTCATTTATAATTGGGCAAAATACTTAAGAGAGAGGTACGTTTGGGCTACCATTTTAGAAAAGGAGTTCTTTCTTGATACAAAACTGAATTGGTCCACTAATTACAAGACAACAAGGTCCGGTCCATATATTCATTTTGGTATGTCAATTGGACCTAAATGCATATTTTAGGGGGTTAATATCAGCAATAGCCACTGTACTTTGTACCATATATCACTTCAGCCACTGAATTTTAATTGCTTTCAAACTCGTCTCCCAACTTTATAAAACATGTCAATCAGTCAGTCAGCTAGCTCACCCGGATAATCCACTATATGATGTATTATAGGCATGATTTTTGGCTTCAAAAATAAAATTCTCCAAATCTCACAAATCAAACAAATCACAAATTTCAGAAACCCTCTTCTTATATTGCCTAGGGTTTTCAATTGGCTGCTCAAATTTAATCTTTACAAAATTCAAGTCGTGAAACCATTTGTCCATGTCAAGACAGATTTTCTATTTAATAATACATGATTGATTAATCGAATGGCTTCATCGACATGTATTGTAAAGTTTCGTGATGTATATAAAACAAATTAAAATTCAGTAACCATTGGTCAATTAATTCGTAATTTTAAATGATCGTCTGGTGTGAGACGTCGATTCTATTTAATTAAGTAGCAAACAATAAATTCTTTGTATTTCTTTCATTGTAGTATATCTCAATAAGTTGTTGGATACTACAAGTTGTTTCATCAAACTTATGGTCACGTATAATTTATGACATGTATTAGACATTACAATACATAAAACTTCAAGTTATTTTCTTTTTATTATTGTCTATAAGGCATTAGGTTATTGAAATTATTGCTCTATGAGTAATCTTGTATGTATATTTAGAACAACACTTTCTCAATTGAGCCTGTCGCACAGGGATTGCGACTTACGTGGCTGGCGTAGTTTGTAAGCTATTACATTAATACGAGGGTTTATCAAGTACTCATCTGAATGATAGTGACTATAAAAATAAAATAATATAAAAAATAAAAAACTTGTGGAATAGAAATTTCTACCTATTTTTTGCAGATAAATTGACCGACTAATCAGTAGTCCTCTTCGAACCATCATATCTGTCAAATCGAACTGAATCAAACCAAATTATCATATATTTCATCATGATTCATGAACATGTTTCACTCATGATTTTCAACTCTCGTTGTCAGTTATAATAATATATAGCGTTAATTACTCTATAAATGACTAGATTAAACTGATTCTAAATTAGACCGCTCGCCTGCCGGCTCAGAATTGAGATCCAAAGTACCCGCAATTTTATCTCGAGTTCCCTCCATACTTCCTTCTTTCTTGACGACGTTGACCTCCTCAAAATCTTCCCGTTGAAAGGAAGGACTCCACGCCGTCATGGTCGACTCACAGTCACCGTGGCGATTACGCTTCTTGAAGTACTTAACGGCCACGTGTATTCTCCTAAGTATGGCAAAGAACTCCTCCACCTCATCGTCTTCCGGCAATCGCCTAACGCCGTTATCATCTTCCTGCCCTTTGCATTTCTTTCCGTCAGCGTCTTCGTCATTTGGCCGCTTTCTCTTCGCCACTTCCATTGTGAAAAACACGAGAAAAAAGGGAATTGGTGAAGTATGAAAATTTGTAAACAAATATGTTATGGGTTTCTTGAATGTTAAGGTTTATAACAGCTTTAATAATGGTCTGGTGACTCGTGACGTCATACCATGACGTGATGAGTGATTATGGGATGGGAAAATGTCATCTTGTTTGGTGGTCTTTAATTCTAAAACAAAAAACTATATTTTGAATAATGTGTATTTCGTGACCTTTATTTCAAAAAAATTATATTTTGATTTTTAATAGTATTTTTTAAGAATGTGTAATTAAAAATAAATGTTAAAAATAAATTAAAATAGAATAAAAGAGTCAAACATGGCACCTAGAAAAAGGACTGAGCTAAACGAACAATAGGGATGATCGCATACACACACATGGAGGGTTTGGAATTTTAAATTCAGATGGAACCCACCTTGATTATGCGAGAGCGCGGTTAATCGTTGTGTCAACCGCTATGATCGTTTGGCTTAATTTTAGAAAAGATATGAAATAGAACCATTAGGCAAAACGTGGAATATACTTGTTCGAGAGTGACGTTATATTGTTGACACGTCATCATGTTGACTGGGATGTCCTTTGAAATTTTGGTGGTTTTATTTGACATTTGAACTGCCTAATGAACCTTCCAAGAATTCCTATACTTTCGGCCCGGCTTTTCGGCATGATCATAGTAATGACGCTTGTAGGGGAAAAATGAAAAATCTAAAGCGTGACAATTGTGTTTTGATTTAGTCGGTGATTTATTTCAAAATTTTCTATTTAGAATTTAATATTTCTATGTATTAACTGAAAATTATAAGCTATATATAAGTTTATTCCAACATAGATTTTATTACTAGACTATATTTGGTTCGTGTTTATAAATACATTTATAAATAATCGAATCACTTTCAATTCAAAAATTTCGTGACTGATTGTGCTACTTGTACATTGTAATTTACATATTTGTTTACTAACAAGATAACTTGACAAAATTTCACCTACACTAAAAAAAAAAAAAAAAAAAAAATCGCCACTAACCCACATTACATAAGTATAATCATTAAAGTGGAGAAGAGACTTGGACAATTTTAATTCAATTTGATGTATAACAAGCATTTCCAATTTGCGATAACCATAAATACTATCGATTGTCCAATGCTCATTTCTGCTTATTTATATTTAAGCATTTATGAACCCTGACCATACATGACTAACATAGTAAATGATAATGTATGAAAATGTTTATTTTATGAGATAAATATTCAATTATTATTATTTATTTATTTATTTTTTTGTCTATATTTATGCAAAAGATTAGTAGTATCATAAGAATTATCACGAGGATACAGCATACTTCACGTTTTTTGTTTATTTTATTATTTCATTAAGTTTTTTTTTCTTCGTATCTTTAGTCTTTACACTTTATCTTTAGTCTTTATACTTTGGTATGTTTTCAACATATATATATATATATTTATTTATTTATTTTTATTTTTATTTTTTTTCTAAATTAATTTAAAAACAAATAAATGAAAGCTCACATCCCGTTTCTCTCTTTCTTAAGGAAAATGCCACTTAGCTCAAAAATGTTGGACACTCGGCGTGACCGACTCTCACAAAGTACACGAATTCCACCTGAATTAAATAATATCCGACCCCTAAGATGTATGTATTCGATCATCCCCTATATCCTTTAGGCTGATCCTTCCTCCACCAACTTTTTGACTCGTGTTCCCATTTATCTAGATGCCCACCCAAATGGCGACAAATATGGTAGTAGATGATATTAAAAATTGACTTAGTTGTCGGCTGCCCAAGTCCTTTATTTTTTAGTCTTTTTATGTCGGCTCCACAAGTCCACATTACCCAATTAGATGTTGAGCCCGTGTTTCGCTCCATTAAAATGAGATTTTAAAAGAACATATGTTTTAAGATAGTGACTTTTGTTTTTAAGAATGCGTAATGAAGAAATAAGGAGAAAATTTGAATTTACATAAAATATTATATTTTAGGAAAAATTTGTGATAGAAAATGAGTTTTGAAAAAATGAAACTCAACAGATAGTGTCCAGTGCAAAAACAAAATTTTATGATGACGTTGTTAATTAATAAATATCAAAACCTTCATGGATTCAAAAGGGAAAAATATATAACAATTACGAAGGTTTCAAAAATAAGAAACTAGTGAATTTTTTTTTGCAAATATTAGTTGATCAAATGTTGTGATCCCTTATAAATATTGTGACTTATAATTTAATTAAACATATCAGGATCAATAACTTTCAATTTATGTTTGCAGTCATAAAGTAATCACAAAACCACAATTGCAAAGACACAATTTGCAAATCACAATTACATAGATAATCACAAATCACACATTTTAATATATCATAAATTATTTATTAGTTACAAATTAATCGATTAACAGTCACAAGCACCATTCATCTCACTCCACCCCTCTCCACCATCATCGGCGCAATCAAAATCGTCGTCGCCACCTCAAATCCACACCTCATTCTTCAACCCATCATCGCCAACACCACCACCACCCCTACTACTTACGACAACCACCGCTTCTCCCATCAGAATTGGATCATCAATGACCATACCTACAAAAAAGGTAGTGAAGCGACAAGCGAGGAAAGGTGAGCATATCCTTGTTGGACATTGTAGAAATTTCACCACTAATACGACAACCTATCACAGCAATAATAAATCAATAATTAGTTAATTACTCAACACTCCAGTTTTAACCACCAGTACAATCAACTTCATCACTAGCTCCGATCTCATCACACCCATTGACGCCACTCTTCGCCATAGCGTACGTTGCTCTCGTACAACATGCAAAAACATTTAAATAATTTCTTCATACTTAGATCTGAAAATTGAATGAATTGGTGAATATTGAAAGATAGAGAGGCTACGGTATCAAGAAGCCGAAAAATGCTTGATTCAAATTTGGATTTACTGAGAGAATGAGGGATACAAGGTGGAATAGGGTGGTGAGGTGGGGTTGTGGAGTGGAATGGATATATCTGATTTTTGAAAAATATTATTTGTACCTGATTTATGAAATTATAAGTTGAAAACGTCGGGTATGAGTTACTTTCCCTATTCAAAATTCCTGATACAGTGGACCGATTCTATAATCCAAATGGAAATGGGCCGTCCATATTCATATAAATGTCTTCCTTAATACATTGTTGCATAAGTGAAGGCCTGTTTCAGAAAATGCATACTTGTCACTGTGAGCTGGTTCTGTTTTCTTGATTACTATATGGACCTTCATCCAAAATTCCCCTAATAATTTTGAACACTTCCATACTTTCTGGATTAATTTTTTCAATTTTTGTTTGTCAAATTGGCTAATATGTTAAATCATAACGCCACAAAACATGCATAGCCACTATCTTAATCATAAAATTTAAGATATAAGTTTGAATATTTCGTAAATAATACTAGACATTTCTAGACATAGTTGTATCAGAAACCCTCCCAAAACCCACGTGCCAAAGTTTTAGATAGGCCGGTCTAGTCTCTCAAGTTCTGGATTACAATTTGGCTCGAACGGTTGTACTAATATAGATCGTTCTAATATAGCAACTTATTTTGATACAGCTATTTGAATAGATCGATTGATACAATTTTAATTTATTTTTCTTTAATACTATCCATTATCATAAGGTGAAACATGGCCGGCACTTTACGACTGCACGCGTCATCCATGACCTACCCTATCAAAACTCAAAAACCAAGTCTACATCAGTTACCTTCCCATCCATTCTCAGCCAACGACAACCCCACCCACCCCATTATCACACTAGAAACAGAAAGTGCATTTCAATGGGGAAATACAACGAAATATTGTCATTATCAGACATCATGAATTTGTGACCACAAACACTCTTGAGAACGTGAACGTGAACGTGAACGTGAACTTCGACAAGTGGTGTTGTTTGCAAATTAAAACTAGTGATTTCGAGGGAATTCATGAGGACGAACAAACAAAACACAGTACGCACAAAATGATGAAATATTCCATCATAGGCCTGCAAATTGGGTTTGCATTATTGTCACTTCGTTTCCATTCCCTAACATTGTTCGTTCTATCCTTATCTTCGTTTTTATCGTTTTCTTCTTGAATAATGACGGTTGAACAGGGTTAAAATACGGAAAGTATGTTTTTTTTTGTAAAAAAAATTCAAACTGTCCGTTAATGGGTTAAAAAAGGGAAAGTTTTTTTTTTTTTTTTTTTTTTTTTTTTTTGAAAAAAAAATTCAAACTGTCCGTTCATGTTTAGACACACATCCTCTTCGTTTTTAACCCTATTTCTGTAGCATTTCTATTTTTCTTTGGCAATCAAGAGACTCACTAAGTCATGTTATGACGCATTTTCAAACACTAAATGATTATTTGAAAGACGAAATCATCGTCAACTAAAGGGAATCTTTTCAAAGACACATTTTATTTACCCTCGAATTATTTTTTGTAAATTTGATATGCATCAACAACTTGACAAAATAAAAGGACTTCTTTATCTTCTTCTCGTCTCGTATCAATTATAGAATGCAGAATCGATTCTGCCAGGATTAGTTCAGATTCTTTTAATAAAAAAAACTTATCATGTGGATCATTTGCGAATATATGTTGAAATAAGTTATGATTTCTTTGTTAGTAAACTAATGAATCCGTTCAGAGAGTTTCTCACATATTACTTTTTTGTTTTTTGTTGATGTTGGCCTTCTCATATTCTTTGTATTTAGAGCCTATTCGGTAGTAATTATGAGCGCTGATGTGTTGACTGTTAAAGAGAAAAGTTGATCCCATCTGTGAGTAAAAGTGTCAAAAATGACGTCTGTAATTGTGAAATAACGATCAAAAAATTGTGAAATAAGTGTCAAAATACTAGTTATTTTCTTTTCTAAATACTCAAGAAATCGAGATGGATATTTTAATTGACCCACAAATATTATTATCTTATTAGTATTTTAATTTGTGTAATAAAAATAAGATTGGTTTTCGTAGTGATAGATATAAGATCTTATAGAGATTTCAGTGCGCAAAAAGTTAGTATCAAAATCAAGTCTCTATCAAAATACTTTTCCTACCACTTCTCTAAATCATTATCTCCTTCGTCATTGAGTTATCTCATTTTTAGATCACAAAACAGACATGATTTCACAATGATGATATTATTAGCATGTTAGGCGGCATGTTTTAAAGTGCTTTTTTTATTTACTTTATTGAAAAGCAGACTCATATTACCTAAACAAGTACTTAAAAATGTGAGTTTAATCACGATCAATTGTGCTCTATATAATAAAACGTTTAATAGTTATTTACTCATCCCACAAAAATTAGTTATACTTGTCGAGTGTGTTGGAGTAGTAAGATTAAAAAATGGTAGAAACAATCAGATTACATGTTGAGGGAGATTATACAGGAAGCATTACAAGAAGACATGTGACAACCATTCATTGGACCTTGGATCCAAAACAATTTTGTCCCGACCAATGCAATGTTGTCACTTGTCTCCCTGTAGTGCTCCCTGTACAAGGAGAATAATTTTGGTAGAAATGTTAAATTAATTTTGGCACGCTATCACATTACTCTAGATGGCTAGAAGAGCTTGGTGGTGGCAAAAGTTCAAATGGCTCACCGATTTTATGTGCTCGTATTGAAACGAGCAATAGACCCAATTGAGCTCGATTTTTTCATGAGCTAACTTGTCTTGAGCTCATGAACTAGCTCATTTTAACTTCTTTTTTTTATTAATTTTTTTTTAATGAAAAACAAGTCGATTCGTGGGCATTGGCTCGAGTTCGATTTGACCCATTGCCACCCTTACAAGAGCTTGACAAATTTTAAGAATCCAATCTTTTATTTTTTTATCCATACCATACATGAGATTAATTTTGTAATGCATATTTCTTTAAATCACGCAAATTCAAGGTTTTATCAAATTCAAATAAGCTAAACCTATAATAATGGTACATTCTGGTAAAGACGAAAAATAAGTTAAAAATCTCATTATTTATCCTATTCAATTTTGTACCAAATATTTAAGTCATTTTTTTTTTATCAAAACGTTTGGTTCATGTTTATCTGTAATATTTTGCTCATATTTATAAATTGTTCATAAACACTTCAAACTACTTTTTATTAATATATTTCGAGAAATTTCAAATATTACACACTATTTATCACTTATTTTTATTTATTTATAATTTAAATTGTTTATAAACTCTTTTCGAACATACATCCAATGTGATTATCTACATCTTTCAGAATTATGCTAGACAGACAGGTGCACATCCCCGGACGATAGTATTTTGCAAAAAGTGGCTTAACTTTCCCTCTTAACAGCGAAATGGGGACAGATAACCTTAGTGACAGAAATTTACATCTGTCTTGACATGGTTTGTCATATAGAATCCTCACACGATTCTCCTCTCCTATGAACCATACGTTACTAATGCGTTTCGTACATTTCTGTTTCGTGTGTGCAGATTACACAGAGATTCACTACACGCATGCACAAACTATGTCCCTTATTTGATGGTCATTGCTTAGAAAAAATGGTGTTTCGAAATTTGAATTGTGATTTTTAAAAGAATACGTGTTAAAAAATAAGATAAGTGTTTTCGAATTTACATGTAAAATATTTTATTGTGTGAATATGTATATGAAAATGAGCATGAAAATTAAAGAATTGGATATATACTTTAAAGAGAGACAAATAGGTGCTATATATTATGAAAATTGCGCACGTATGAAACGTTAAATAAAAAGGAAATTCAGCTTGCACACGAGCATGTTGAAAAAATCGAAACATATAAAAAAAAAAAATAAAGCTATTTGTACAATCTTTGTTGACAATTCATGTATTATCAAGATGAAAAACAATTTTTAAGATGAATGGTGTAGATTCTTGCCTACTAATGGTTGTCATTGTACATATAGTATGACTGACATATAAATTCATCTCTTAAAATTTTAGATGAAATAATGTCACTGTAAAAAATCATTTCTTGTGGTAATTGACGAAAATCACTATCACTCGCTGCCTATAAATATTTTGGAATATTGAGGGGGATATTACAGCAAAAATTAAGAAAGAAGGAGGACAATAATGGAGGAGAGAAGTCAGCATGCAGAGAGGAAAAAGGGTGGTATCATCACTATGCCATTCATCTTTGGTAAGCTTCATTTTTCAAACATTACATTACTTTAGATTGGAATTTGGAAATCAAAGTCTGTTTTGATTTGTTTATGAATTAGGATGTGATTAATATTAATGTTGTTTGGATTGCAGCAAATGAAATATGTGAGAAATTGGCTGTGGTTGGTTTTGGTACAAACATGCTCAGCTACTTAACAACTCAACTACACCTGCCACTCACTAAAGCAGCCAACACTATCACCAATTTTGGTGGCACTGCAGCCTTAACGCCGCTAATCGGGGCGTTCGTCGCAGATGCATTCGCCGGAAGATTTTGGACCATAACAGTTGCTTCTATCATATATCAAATAGTTAAGTCTCTTTCTCTTTTTTCTTAATGCGGAGTCGTGTTGAATCATTTCATATAAAAATTTAAGCTACCACGAAGTCTTGACTTGTGCATGATTTTTATATATGTGGTGAGGCTTCTGCTCGTCAGCCATGTTCAACCTTTTCATCTAAAAGTTTAAGCAGTTAAAAACGAATAATACCTTTATTTAAATTATGATTTCAAACTTCAAACCGTAATTAGCTTAACTTTTAGTTAATAAAAGAAACCTTCTTGTCTTTCATGCAAGAAAATAAATAATTCAATGTATAAAACTTACAAGGTTTTGAATTATAAATCTTTAGGACATAAATAATTATTTTTGTTTATTTTCGTGATCAGGGGATGATCAGCTTGACAATATCAGCAATTCTGCCCAAATTAAGGCCTCCACCTTGTACACAAGATCATAAAGTTT